TTGAACTCTTATAATATACACTTGCATGATACGCGTACGCGATGTGTGTGTGTGTGACTTTGGTGTGATGAATAACAAGGGAAACGTGCGCCGAGCACACACAATTTTCTAATTGTGAACGAGATTGGTATCGTGTGCTACGTAGCCGTTTATCTATCTCTCGGTATGGTACCAAACCGACAAACGTCAATGGCGACGGGCTAACGATTAATTACGGCAACAGCAACAGTTCGGGCACACATCACGAAAGCCCCAACTCATACATGTACGCACACACACACAAAATGGCAAATTAAATATAGTCGCTAGAGTCATCGCATCACGCATTCATGGTGTCGGGTGATATTCGCATAATGGTTTTTTATTCACCTAGAATGAAATGCCATTTGATATACCGTGAATTCATTTTTCGCTTCAAATTCAGTCAATGTTCGCAGATCATATGTGCCAATGTATATATGGTTCAGTTAGAACCTCACACGACCGACTATTGACACGAGCTCATCGGCTCGTCGACGATGCCGTTTTTCCAAACACACAATGCGAATACCATTACATCGAAACGCATTAAAAATAGCCCTGTCTATCGAATCATTGGCTTTACATTTTGTTTTTGCTTTGCATCAACCGATACTCGTTGGTGGTTATTGGTCTCTGATCTATGCAATATGAACGAATCTCTTTTTTTTAGATACACGCATAAATAGCTGTAACGAATGAACAAAATCGCGTCTAATGGCATTTTATTATTATGTTGTCGCTGTGCCGCCGTCGGAAACCACACGCTCGTTGTTGCATTCTTGTTGGGAAATTATGTGTGTATATTCTGAGTGGAAAAAAATTGCGACGCTAAACGTAATGCTTCGAATGGGTAGCGAGAATGAGAGTGTGAGAGAGAGGGGTACAGGAAAAATAGAATTTTAATGGAATTCCATTGAAAACGACATGCCACCCGTGGGCATGTGGTCGGTCATCATCATACAAATTTGTTACACATTTGCATGCGTCAATGGGAGCGATGTTGAAATTTCAATTAGATCCATTTTGGCGAATTGACGGGCTTTTGTTGCTTTTCGTGTGATTGCTACATTTCACATGAAATCTCGCATGAAAACACGACAACAACGAGACTGAAAATGAATGCAGTCCAAATGAAATGAAATATACATCAAAGTGCCATCGTTAGTAACTTACGACATGTTTGTTTTGATTCTCTTTCGCTCGCTGTTTTGCCCTCTATCTCTCTTCGTCATTTGGCTTACAAATCAATTGAAAGTCTACTCATGTGATTCAATGATTTACTGACTAATGGAACCAAATTACGAACCAATCAATCGGCGTGTGTGTTTTTATGCTTTGCTTTCGCCCTGATTTCGACAAAATGAAACACAAATGAACAATCAAAGCCAAATTCACCGAAAAGTTTGATTTTTTTGTTGATGTTTCGTGTATTGGATATTTCTTTTTTTGGCTCAAATCGACCGATTTCGTGCGACTAAAAAGCAGAAAAAAGCCGATGCCAATGTCCGTACAAATCAACATGAGCAGACTGTATGGTTCGGCTGAGAGCCAGAGCGAGTACGACAGACACAGCAAAATTGCAACAATGAAATTACTAGATGTATAAAAAAATTGGCTGAAAATAGACATCATAAGTATAGAAAGAGATGAAAGAGAAACGAAATAGAAATAAAATATAACACGAGCACCGAATCTGTATTTGTATAAAGATGTAATTTTCATTTTGGTTGAATATCAAGACTCAATATATCAGTTATAGTATAAAAAACGTCAGAACCAATCTAATAAGTAGGTAGTACTGATTTCACCTCGTGTGATCCTCTCGCGTTTGTATTCCTCACTTTTTTTTTCTCTCGCTGCTGTGACCGAGAAAAGACCGTTTTTACAGTTTCATCTCATCTTTTTTGGACGTGGTCGCTTTGTGTGTTTGTGTGTGGTACGATCGAACAAATTCAGTTTTGCCTCAATAAACGCTGTGTGCTAATCAAATCAAATTATTCGCGGACATTTTTATTCGAATCACATCAGTTGACACGATCGCAGCGAACCGCGCAGATCACGCAATAAACAAAAAAAAAAGAAGAAATTTAAGTAGAAAATCGCGCGCAATTTCAGTTAATTTAAAGCAATTTAAACGATATTTCTAGTGGAAATGTGTCAATTAATTTGTGAATTTTAAAAATTGATTACGGCTAATTTCGTGATTATTTCAGCGAATGTGTTTGTGTTGTTGTTGTTATTTGTTGAAAGAAACAGACGAGAAAAAAAGAGAAATAATCGTGCATTCAATTTATGAATAGAGAGCTGCCAATTATCATTATTATTGCTACTATATGTATAGCACCATGAACCAAGTGGTCAATCTTCGCGTAATTTTTGTGTGTATCAAAAACAATTTAAGTAAATTGATAGCATAAATTTAGTTTGAGTGCTCAAAAAATTGGAGTTCATTAGTTTCAATGTGTGTTCGGCAAATTCATAGTAAGCGCCGAATGTTGAGCTAATGTCAGACGTGCGCGCTCTTGCTCAATTTTCGCAATTAAGGCCAATGGATTGTGTTCTTTCAACGCTACAATAAACCGAAGTGTCAAAATTCGATTCAAAAGCACACACACACACACACATTCACATTCACATTCCGCATTGATTTGTGGGTCAACGATTAATTTGGATTAGTTTTCGTTTTTCGATATCATTCGAAAGCGATTTGAGGAAATATTATACCCGATGACATTGAAACCATAACCATCATTAACCATTTTTCTTCTGTGCGCGCAAACATTTTGAGCAGCACGGTTGAAATGCGAATCAGCTGAAAAGTGATCTGTTTAATTTTCATAGGGTTTCACATTTTGTGGCCGCGACCACCAAATGAAAACCTGACTGCAGTTTGTGTGTGTGTGTGTGCATATCGCTGACGGGGGGCAGCAATAACAAATAAAACAACACCGATATGCGCAATGCCACAATACGACGATTCATTTCTATTCGATTGCGAGAAAAAGAGAAATGCACGCTCGTACAAACCATGCAAACAATTTGCCATTAGCGTTGGCAGAAACATTGCAAAGCAACCGCATCAGGATAACGGTACAATTGACAAATGGAGAAAAAAATATTTTACGCTCAAACGGAATGCATCGCCTTCACCATCGATGCCCATTTATCGATCCATGTGTTCGCTCGTCGATAACAGTACATTCAACCGTAAGTTCACGCAAACAACTCCGGACCAACATAGAAAGACTCGATGTATAATAAATCCACAGTTTGATTTTCCTTCGTCGCTCGCGCTCACTCACGCTAAAGTGCATTTTATGCACGAACGCATCGCTTGATTCTTTTTCTTTTGCGAAAACATATATCTGTTTTAATTGGAATTCGATATCGAAGCCGAATGATGAAGTAATTTTATCAGCAGAAATGGCATCGTTTTGCTCTGCATTGTGCCTGTCCGCTTACACGATACACAAAGTCACAATAAAAGTCAGTAAAAGTTTTTGACAAATTGGCAAAATTACAGAGTTTTATCGTGATGTAATCACTGTTTCGCATAAACACTGTAATTAAATTGTAACATTGACGAGAAGAAGAAGTGAGAGAGAAAAAAACAAAATAAATGAAAGAAAACTTTGTGAAAAAATATTTATTTATGCACAAGTTTAGATTGAGTGTGCACATTTCATCGAAATGAAAACGCTTTTATTTATACTCACTCAAAACAATTATTGTATGCTTTCTTGTTTATGCGTCTGTAGTGTACACGTATTTTGTTCAACTTCATTCTTTCGTCTGTTTCATTTTTTTCATTCTCTTTTTTTTATTGTTATTTGTATGAATGTTCGCCTTCTTTGAGACATGACTGTGCATTGGACTTTTACTCTTATTCCTCTCTTGGTAGTTGTTTGTTCCTTTAATTCACGTCATTCGTCTTCCTTTGTTTTCCGATGGGTGCTTCTGGTGTTTTCCTCTTCAGTGAGCCGCACATAGCCGCTACTCACACAAACGCATACATACAATGCGCATTTTTTACTCTCGCACAGCGCCCGCGCGCTCTCACGTTATCATTATAAAAGTGTTATTATTATGAGGTAAACATAACGAGCGGTAATGAGGTGCATTAAGTATATTATGAGCAGTGTGTGTGATATGCACATGCACGAATCGTAAACATAAAAATATACGCGTTTGTATTACAAATCGTTATGCTCTTCACTCAGCATTATTTTCTCCCTTGGCATTGTTGTTTGTTTCCTATACGTGTTTTGTCTCCCTCTTTCTCTCACATACGCAGGCATGCACACAAACATTTTATGTTTTCATTATAGTTGTTCTTTGGTTGTTTAGCAAATAATTTGAATAAAATTGTTAAATTATCATCTTGCTCGCGCTACTTTCATAAGCGGTGCGCGAACTTTTAAACTGGGTTAATAAGCTCATTGCCACAACACGCATTCAAATGCGGTTGATTCATGGGCCAACAACACACATTTGCCATGTTTTTGGCATTAAAATATGAAATATCTGACTTTATGCTCCGCTTTCTGTTGACATTTTTAATGCTTTTATAAATGAACTTAAATGAAAGAAAAGCACCTAGAAATGCGAACAAATAATTTCCGGTGTGAATTTTATCGTCGCCGTAGCTGCAAGAGGTGCACGGTATGTCACCGTAACACGTCTGCCACACTCTTACTGAACGTTTCTCATTCATTCTAAGGATATAAACTTTTTTTCCGACCGCCCATCAATTAAAAAAGTTCGTTTCGTGCAACAATAGGTATGCCACTTTTATAATTGCATTTGCGAGACGCATCCGGTTGTAATTAAAATTGCATTTCAACACTTTTCCATTCAATTCGATCCACATTTTATATAATTCCATGATACATGGCATTTATATAGGTACCCAATTGAAAACATGCAACGATTTTAATTGTGTTTTTTTCTTTGCTTTGTTATTTTCACTATCGTTTCAGATGTTGATTTGAATCATCAGTCGCCACAAAGCGGTTCGAACAGTCCGTCGGCCGCACTGAACAATAGTCACAAGCAAAATAATTCGCGAAATACGAAATTAGCGCGGCGTGCTCGATCATTCAAAGATGATTTTATCAGTAAACTATGGGTTCGAGCACCGAATATCAACACATTGCCCCTTGGCCGGTATGTTTACACAATGTTTACTTTGAAATTGCTTGATTGTTGCTGCGCGAGTTTTTCTACTCAAACTTTACTAATTTGAACATAAACTTTGCTCTAATCACAGATCTCATTCGCCGAACAGTCCACGGAACAAGCTAACGAAAGGCAATCACTATTCAACGGATGGCGGAGACAGTAATCACAAACCGTTACACGATCTAAATTACCATGTGCGACAAGTGAAAAATGCGCTAAAACATTTCAAAGGTGTTATCTCACGGAATCGACTGGAGGTGTTGCCAGCCAACGGTACGGTTGTTTTGGAAACGATTGCCAATGTGCATACGGCTCTGCAACCGTACACATTAAATGAAAATAGTAGTGCAATCATTTCGGCAACGACACAAGTCTATCAATCATTGGGCAAACTAATTAAGCTATGTGACGAAGTGTTGCTAAGCGAAGACAATCCGCATTGTGCATCGTTGAGCCAAGAAAATGTCACCGAAGTCGTTGAACTGGTGGAAAAAGCCGTTCAGAATCTGGTCGAAATAGCCAATGAAAAGGTGATGGAACGCGAGAAAAATGGCATTCTATCAACGAAAACCAATACAAATAACAATTTATTACAACGACCCGAGGTAAATTGTCAGCGTACATCACTTCCAGATATCCCGTTAACACCGCGCGAACGTGACATTTTGGAGCAATCGCAATCGAAAAATTTGCGAACATCACATAGCATCGAAAGTATGCTTCGCGATTCTAGTCCACCACCAAAACCACCATTACCCGAACGGTAAGTGGGAAACAAAGAACTCATTAACGCCAGATGTGGAGCTACCGTTAAATGCTCTTGTCTATTGACATGGTAATCTAATTTCTTTTTGTTTTGTCCGCAGAGCAAGCAATCCGCCTCCGCTTCCACCGAAAAGGAAAATCCAACCGAAACTGGTCGGTATTCAGCTGTCGCCGCAGCAACAAACTCAATCCGTCACTGATTTGGACAGTAGCAATATCATTGATGCAACGCTGCTAAATTGCGGTTTGGATCGAATGTCATTGCGGTCAAAATCACCTGACGATAATTCCAGTCTATTAAGCACCAGTTCACTCGATTCCGCACTCAACCATTCACGCGAAGAAGATGAACTCAAAGCGCTCACATGCAACGATCATCAGAACGATGAGATTACATTGCGAGAGGATATCGATAAATTTTTCGAACAAAGTGAGTTCAAACCGTAAATCGAATTTTCTCAATTTTCAACTCATTGAATCCGCTTGAGTCGCTTCTATAGGAAAAATAATAATTTATTCGCTAATCACTGACATGTATTAATTGTTTTTACTAACCATTTGAAAATAAACTCATGAGCCAATCATTTCTTCATTCTTTCACACATAAACAAACACGCTCACACACACACACACTTACAGAAGGCAATTGCATTAGAAGCGAAGTGACCGATTCGATTGGACCAATCGCATCAATAACCGAATTAACCGTTGAGCCACGACGAAATCCACGTGAATCACAAGAATCGGGTATCTTTTTTTGGCTTTAGCTTTTATTTCATTTAAAACTAGAATAACCTAACCATTTAATTCAACTTACATTTTCAACTAGCATCATGCTACAATGCTAATCCGATACATGCCAATTCATTATCTCCATCTCAATCACTTTATGTCTTGTGTTTGGCTCCAATTGTAAATTAATCCGAGTGCGTTTTCTATTTTGTTACCATTTTTAGGTTTTCTGTCGATGCAATCGGTACGAGCGAGTATGCAGAGCTTTACGGCCAAGCGGCTGTCAACGGAACAGCATAGAGAAAGTTTAATTAATTCATCGACCGTTTTGGGTGGGAAATCGTTGAATGTGGCCAATATGTCGATCATGAATAATTCAGTGCAAATGACGACGACGGCGACAGCCACTGCTGCCGCGGCAACAAAAACGATGACGAGCTTCGGCAATGAAATTAGCAACAATGTGACATCGAAAACATCGATAAGCAGTGCCATGGCAAAGAAATCGTTTAAAAATGAGAACTATGTACAAATGGGCAACTATGACATGCTCAGCTTCAACGTAGACAGTCTGGATGGCTATGACAATTATGCGGAAGCAGTACGAGTATCTAAATCAAAGAGTGTGGAACATCGACTGCTGTCCAACACATCGACCAGCAGCACATTTGAGTTTAGCGATGACAATTGCATTGCTGAAGATGATGAAGTGATACCAGAACTTCCACCGAATTTGCCACCTAAAACACGGGGACGTTTGATGCGACGAGACCGATTGTCCACATATGATAATGTCGATGAAACCGACGACTTTCCAAAGTAAGTGGATTTCGTTGATGTTCTGAGAAATTGATAAGATTATGATGACTAATGCTTGAACTTGAACTTTTTCGCTTTTCTACCTCTTTTAGTCATATGATGTTCATTCCGATGAATCATCCGAAGCACACGAGCATGATTGAACCGCGCCGTCTTAATCACTTCGGAGACGAATCAGATCAACCACCACCACTCCCCGTGAAGAAGAAGCACAGTAAGTCTGGTTGATTTTAATCGGATCCAACTAATTCAAACGAAAAGTAGTCCGTTTTTCGGGTTTTTCCATGAGTTTTCGCGACGATTCACTTGCGTATCATCAATCAAATTTTTGCCCACAATTGCAAAACGAAAATTCGATTTCAATAACTTTCATGAAGCTGCTTCAACATTATTTCATTTTCTAATTCTCTATATTTTAGAAATTCTCGATCTCACATGATGGTACTAACCATTTTTATCTGTTTCATTATTTTCCCGTCTCGTTTTCTTTTTGTCTCAATATCTATATTTTGATATTTGTCTGTGTAGAACTCTCTGATATAATTCCTTTATCATTGGTTTTTTCTTTATTTCAACTGAGTGAACTCCCTGTCTTAGCTTTTTTTCACTCGAAAGCCATAGCCTTTCTTGTTATATCTTTCTTCCAATTGAAAAAAAAACGTGTCCAGTATCTTTTATTTTTTGTTGTACAAATTTGTGATAAATTGCGAATTTGTTCTCGTTGTCAACGTTCAATTTGTTTGCTGATGATGAAGAAAAAAAAAATGAACAGAGTTCCAATATCTGGACTGACTTACCTTCTCTCTCAAACATTTCCACAAATATATTCCACCCAACACGAAAAAAATAGAAATTGTTTTACCATGACTATTTTTCCTGCCTATTCAAATAATTCTGATGTTTGTATTGCTGATTGTAGTTATTTTGTTATTATTGTGTTTGAAATACAGTGTTTCAAAGTGTGGCCTATTCGGGTAAGTCAGAAATGGCACCAAAATGGCGATGGGTAACAACAGACCATTTCGATCAACCAAAAAAAAACTAGTAGCAAAAAAACCATGTCGTTGTTGTATTCACTGTTCATTGTATAATCTCTCTTTCTCGAATAGATGTGTTGAATTTGAATGTTTTGTGTGTATTTTCCAATTTTGTTTCGTTTCAAGTTTTTTTTATTCATTTTATTCAAATGTATTTTACGCCACCCGTTGACTAATTCCGTCTTATGATTTCCGTTAATTTGCTGAATTGTAAATGATGTTCTTCATTTTCCTTTTTCATCGGTATTTTTTGTTTCGTTTCGTTTGCCAAAATGATTCACTTGACAGTAAAGTGTTACGTAACCATAAAAATGCGTTTTGTTATTGTCATTTTGATTTTATTTTTGTTAGTCGATTGTTTTCGGTTACTTTCTCACGGCAATAAAAAAAACGGTGTTATTGATTTACTTTGATCAGTTTTTTTCTTTGTTCGTTTTTTATGTCTCGTATAGCATCACTTTCTAGCGTTCATTCCATTTTGACACTCATTTCCATTCATCTCACATTTCGATGTCGCCGCCTGTACATATCTCAATCGATTTTGATTGTTTTTTATTTTCGGTTTCGTTTCATTTGTTTACCTCACAACAAGTTCTGAAAATGCCGCAGACAAAGTCGGCCGCTTATCTATCATTAATTAAGGCAACAATGATTCGAATTTATATCATTTCTGGTTTTACGTCACTTTGTCAAAATCAATGACTTTCGAACAGTCACATAAATTGTGATGAAAAATATTCCAACAAATTCCACATTTTCGAATGCAAAACACAAAAGAAAAGAAATATTGATAAAAGGTTTTGATTGAAATATAACATGTTTTGACCTCATGATGTAAGAATCTTAATGGAATTATCGATTCATGGAAATATGGTTGAAAGTAATTTCTCGTATAATCTCTCATTTCAAAGATATCATGAAATATGCATATTTAAAATGAAAACATTGTGTGTACCATTTATTACGAAAAATGATTCGAAACACATTCATACAAATTGCGTTATCGGAATTATGATGCGATTTGGAAAATAACGTTGTGAAAAAACTGAAAGAAAAAACCATAACAAAACAACGGGGCTCATTGATTGAAAGCACATCTGCTGTGCACAGCACATGCCATGGCATTTAGGTCAGCCCATTTCGGACGATTGAAAGTAAAAAATGGCAACGTTTTTCTTCTTGTACACACCTATCCCTGTGTCCAGCTAGTGCGCCACTTCAAAACAAGCACATCGCTTGTTCTATTTTTTATCTGCGATCTTTGCGAGTGTACAAATGAAAGAATTAAACATGCAAACTCGTTGGAGTGCACTACATTTCAATCATGTCATACGTTATACTCAGAATAAACACAATCATTTTTTTTTGTTCACACATTCACAAATACACCACACAGTGTTCATGATGACAATTTTGCCATTATTATTTGAACACACACAAAAATTTAACCACATACAAACAAACAAAAAACAAATTCTTAGCGAAATCATCAGCATTGTGCATATATCACATACACATTTATCGATAGTCGATATAGAGTCTTGTTATATTAGACAAACAAAAGACAACAATGTACTAGTTTTATTTCTAATAAATCGTTTTTTTCTGTTTGATTTTTCAATCGCTATGTTTTTGTTGACGATTGACAACAATTGCGCCTTAATTGTGCGGTTTTTCCCTCTCGCGATCTTATTCGACGATGTTGCCTTGCACAGTTATGGCTTACATGGAAATGTTCGGGAATTGTTCGCACACATCGGAGTTTGTGCGCCATTCGGTGCATACATGCAATTCGAATCATCATTCAACGAGCTCCACCAGTGTGGATCAGTTAACGACGAACAGCAGCCAACAGCAGAATAATCGTTATATTTCGCACAGCCAAACGATGAGGTAAGACGCAATTTTAAATTATCAATCTCCGCGAATGCAATAATATTAAATTCATTTATTTTTTTCCTAGTCTCTCACCGTTGCGTCGCCAAGTGATAATGGAATCAACGGATTCGTTAGCATCGCATGCGTCTTTGCCGCCAAAAATCTTTGAGAATCCCGACTATCGGCCACCACCAGCACTTCCACCAAAACGGCTTCGAACCGCATCGAGACTCAATGATTTGAACATTACACCACCGTCTAGTCCGAAACTCATCCTAAGCGAATCCATTGAAACTCCAACGAATAATGATTTATCTAGTCAAAGCAACAACAACAATGTGCTGAACAACAATCGCATCAAATTGGATAATAACATGTTAATGAAAGCGAACGTTCTACCACCATTGGTGCCAGCACCAGTATCACCCTCATCAAACTATGTGCAAATCTCAACGTCAACCATTAATGCAGCAGCTGCGGCGGCCGAAGCAGCCAAACAAAATCACGACCAATCACCAATTTCACCAACGAAATTCACAAGCAATATTGAGCAATCGGTGTCGAATAATGTGCCATCGGGTGCGAATGGTGTGACGGTGAATAATGACGTAAGAGTGATTTATACGAACGTTAACCTTTTAAGTACGACTAACAACCGATCGTCAGTCGATGACGACACACAATACATACAGTTGTATGGTGGTAGTAGTGGTGATAATGATCAAGATGAAAAATCGAAATCGATCCACACAATCGAAAGTGATAGATATACTGAAAACACTACCAAGGATAACAACCGGTGTGCAGTACAACCGAACAAAAGTAGCCAATTCATTAACAATAATAATAATTCGATTAACGATAAAAATGCCGATGATGAAGAGGTGGTCTTGCGACGTCCTCAAGCTTCATCTAACAGTAGCTTAAAGGTCTGCTTATTTTCTTAATCTTCCTATTCTTCCTTTTCTGTTTTGTCTATTATGGATCTTTGGGAAACTAAACTATCAAAAATTTAACGCCTAATTTTATTTTTTTTTTCTTCGAAAAAATCGATTTTGGTTTGAGATGACTTAAATTTTCGTTCATATTCCAACAGATTGACTCGGGCAATGGGTCACCATCAAAGTGCGAGCAAAGCAGATTGATTGAAGAGATCGATGTGCAAAAGTACTTAGTCTTCAAGAAGGACGGTGAGGATGGGCCAGATGTCAAGGGCGGGGAATTGGAAGCACTGATCGTACATGCAACTAAAGTGCAGAAAATTTCCGAAAACGGTAAGTTGAAATAACGCACCTCTCCTCGAATTAACTATATTTTTCCAACCAACCTACAGCCTACCATCAATGGAGTAGACACCAAATGTTATTTGTTCACGTATTTTTCACACATGTTTTTCTGTCTTTTTCTCTCTCTCTATTTTGTCTCTCGTTCTTACACGCTATCATGTTCACTCTTCATCCACGTTAATGCAAAACACGCACACACACACATACACAGAATTATCTATTAGTCTGGAGCAGAATGGTACCAATCATATCTCTTCTCACACACTTTGCTTTACTTGTCCGTTGTTTCGACCTTTATATCCAAATTGTGTTGCTTATTGCTTTGTTTTGCTTTGAATATTCCACTGTACATTTGCAATAGATCTAATCCAATTTATTGTTTTAGCTTTTGGCGAGGCATTCATCACCACGTTCCGTACGTTCATTGTTCCGTTGGATTTGATTGAGAAACTCACCCATCGCTACTCGATATTCTGTTGCCAAATCAACGAGATCAAACAAAAAGCAGCTAAAGAATCGTTCTCACTCTTGGTGCGAGTTGTTAATGACCTAACGTAAGTTTTAACACGGATTATGCAAAATTTGATTCCAAACTACAGTAAACTGATTTAATTGTGTTTTTTTACAGTGCACCAGATTTGACTCCACACATTCTTGAACTTCTGAATGAATTCGTATATCAACTGGTTTGCTCAGGTCAATTGATGATGGCTAAATTGCTACGTAACTGTATTCTTGAGAAGGTAAATATCTTTATTTTAACATTCTTTCAATGGAAATTTAACTCTTTTTCCATTTTTCATCGTCAGTATATGTTGTTCAAACAACAAAAATGGTCTCCGCACAACAAAATCCTCAGTGTTATTACAAATCCTCCATCACTTTTGGATCTCAAATCAGCTGACATCGCTGAACAAATGACACTTTTGGATGCGCAATTGTTCCAGAAAATCGAAATACCGGAAGTTTTGCTTTGGGCACAGGAGCAATGCGAAGAAAGGTCACCAAATCTTACACGATTCACCGAACATTTCAACAAAATGTCCTATTGGTACGTGTGTTTTTTTTAATGAATTTCCTTTATTTTGCTTTGTCAATTTTATTATTAAAATTGTAAAACGATTTAAAATTGTATCAATACCAATATTTTTTTTCTTTTCTTCGCAGGGCTCGTTCGCAAATTCTCAAACAAGAAGATAGCAAAGACCGAGAGAAGCATGTGATTAAATTCATCAAAATCATGAAACATCTTCGCAAAATCAACAATTATAACTCATATTTGGCTTTGTTGTCAGCGCTTGACTCGGCACCAATTCGAAGGTTATTATTTATTTATTATTTAATCATAAATCATCTTTGAAAAAATCGCTAACTATAACTCATATATGGCTTTGTTGTCAGTGCTTGACTCAGCACCAAATCGAAGGTTATTATTTTTGGAATGCATTGTAAATACGCATTTTAAAAATAATAACCTTCGATTTGGTGCTGCGTCAAGCGCTGACAACAAAGCCAGATGTGAGTTGAATTTATTGATTTATCAACGAAAAAAAACTCAAAAAAGATATTTTAATTTTATTGAATTTTCATTCAATCTTTCATCTAAATTTAGATTGGAATGGCACAAAACAATAACCGAAGGACTGAAAGAGTACTGTGCTTTAATAGACAGTAGCTCAAGTTTCCGAGCTTATCGGCAAGCATTGGCCGAAACCAACCCACCTTGTATTCCATATATGTAAGTTTTATTTATTTGAATTTATCCTGCAATTACTAATAATTTCTCTCTTTCTCTCTCCTTCCCGCGATTGCAGTGGTTTGGTTCTACAAGATTTGACATTTGTGCACATTGGTAATCAAGACTATTTGAGTTCCGGCATTATCAATTTCTCGAAGCGTTGGCAGCAACACAATATCGTTGTCAATATGAAACGGTTCAAAAAGTGGTAGGTTTTTGAAATGCATTTCTTGACGTTTCAACGTGATTTTAATTATGTTTTGTTTATCTTTTAAATTTTGCAGTAGTTCATATCCATTCAAAAAGAATGAGCGAATCATTGAATTTTTCGATAATTTCGAGAATTATTTGGATGAAGACGCCATGTGGCAAATATCAGAGACAATCAAGCCACGCGTTACACGGAAACCGATTTCACAGCCATCTACTTGATAAAATGGCTCTAAAGTCACGGGGCCAACATAGAAATAAACATAAAATGAAGACTTTCCACTGGAAAGGCTATTTATGGAAATTGAATCAACAAAGTGTCAAAATTGGCACGGATTTTAGCGAAAAGCATGACTTTCGCATTATCACTTTTATTCATACTCATGTGGAATAGTGAAACAACATACGGATGGATTTGAAATTCAAATGATAAGCTTACCTGATATTTTAAAGTGACATAGACAGTAATGCAGCATGAGTGTTTTCGTATCGTGTATCGGCATCCAATTGTGTTTTGTAAAATTTTGGTTTTACAACTAAAAAGTGATACAAGATATATATGTAATTTGTGCGATGATTTTGGTCAAAATGATCGCCCCACATGTGCGCCAAAAAAACCATTTTCTTTTTTGATGCAGCATTCCAAGAAAAATGTATTCAATTATTTAATCAGCGACGATTAAAGTGGTAGTAATTATTTTCTCTTCTAAATTGATAAATCAACATTTGGGAGACAAAACAAGAAAAATGTCGAGAACAAAAGGAATAGCGTCTAGTCTATTATTTGTGTAGTGTTAAAAAAAAAACAAATTTTGTGTGTAGTTTGAAAACAATTTTAGAAACAATACCAAAACTCATAAGTTATTTTGTAATTTGATTTAAATTTTACGTTAATGACAAACAAAGAACAAGTTCACATTTGTATAGAAAGAAAAAGACAGTGAAAAAGTGACAAAAAGTGAATGGTTTGGCTCAAATGCAATTTGATTGCTTTAAGTTTCGATTTAAAACAGAAAAAAATTATTATTAATCCAAAAATTGGCCCAAAATGAACAACAAAAACCAAAATTTGAGATTAGAGATGAACTTTCAGAAAGTTCGAATGGAACGAGAGGCAGAATAAAATGCTTTTTATTCGTAATATTCAATTTCTTGTGTTAAGTTAAACACAATTAATTCTTTATGTAAAATCGGCAACAGCAACAACTGTCCATGAAACAAAATTGAAAAACAAAAACCTATTTTTAGACGACACTATTTTGTAATGATGTACAGTTTCATATTTATTTCAATTGCAAGTTACATTTTGTAACCGATTCAGTTTTTTTTTATATAAATTGATTACGTTTTTTTTATTGGTTTCAATGTTGTAAAAAGATATTTATGTTTTATTTGAAACTCTTTTTGTTTTTTATTTTAATTTAAACCTCAATTTTTTTAATCCAGAATTTTGTATTTAATTTGCTTGTAACAACTTAAGTTTAAGATATACTTATTGGATAACCATGCCAAATGAATATGTTGAATAATAATAATCATTTTTATGTGCAATTTTTATTTTGTTTTTATTTTTCCCACATTGTCTCTTTTTTTAGCGGGAATGAAAAGGTGGTTTTTTTCGTTTTCAGCTGAAATGATTGAATTTTTCAGATGTTTTGATTTTTCATTGAAATTGAACCGCATTCGGTTCATAGCATAAGACTCATTTTGAAATTGGCAAAGGAATTGATTAAAATTTAGTTTAAGTATTTAAAATTGTATTTACACCAATAACAAAAAAAAGGTAACAAAAACTAAACCAAAACCAAATATGATATTTTAGCATGAATTTATTGCATATTTTAGGAGGTAAATCAATGTCGCAAATATAGCAATTCAGTGTTTAGACATACAAAACACACAAACTTACAAAAACAACAAACAAAGTATGAAAGAATTATATTAACTTGATCCACCACATTATTATATGATTTTGTGTGTCGCGAGGCAGCTTTTTTGCTTTCGCGAATATATCTTAATGAATGATTGGCCTAATTATTTTTGTAAGACATTGTTTTACGGTATAAAGATGTAACATTACACACTAGGTGGAATTGGCAAACAAAGGCGAAAAAGGGAGAAAAAAAGATAAAGAAACAGAAACAGCAACTTATAGAGGGTGGACACTTCTCATGATATGAAATCTGGACTTCCCTTTTCTTGAAACTGACGAAGACTTTACAAAGTTCAATCGGTTTTTTTCTACAATCAAAAACCATTTGAAAACTAGAACTTTTGCAGTTCCTCTCAAACATAATATCCTTTTTTTTAATAATGCCAAACAAGACTTTAACTCTATCCATAACATAACATTCATTTTAATTGCAAAACATCCACGAAATTGCGTAGAAATGTGTGACATTATGTGTCAGTATTTTTGAACTCAAAAGCATGTTCTTCGAGTATGAACAGGGCGCGATCGCACCTGATTGTTGAGCACGCATTCGAAA